GGAAGGTCCCACATGCCGCAGAGCGGCTGGACCCGTGAGCCATGGCCGCTGAGCCTGCACGTCCGCAGCCTGTGCTCTGCAACGGGAGTAGGCCACAACAGTGAGAGGCCCGTGTATCGCAAAAAAAAAAAAAAAAAAAAGAGGGCCGGCTTTGGGGTGAGACAGACCTGAGTCACCTTGAGCAAACCACTTGGCCTCTCTGAGCTTGTTTCCTGGGGAGGGTCACAGGCTTCTCTCTTAGATTACAGGTCATTCAACGCATTCACAAATATTTATTGTGCACCTACTACGTCAGGCACTGTCACTGTGATCATGGTCTAGGACCCATGGCCTAAGAAGATCCTTAATAAATAATAACTGCTGTTTCTTTAGTAGTAGTATTACTATTTTGCAGCACAAGATAGTAAGTGAATCCATTTAGGAGTATTTGGAAGAAAATGTTTTTAGAATGAGGGTATCCTAGACTAATTATTTCCAAAGTCGGTGTATTACTTTGCTAAGGCTGCTGCAACAAACACCACAGACTGTGTGGCTTAAACAACAGAAATTTATTTTCTCACATTTCTGGAGTCTAGAAGTTCAAGATCAAGGTATTTCCAGGATTGGTCTTCTCCGGAGGCCTTGCTCCTTGGCCTGTTGATGGCTATCTTATCTCTATGTCTTCACTTGATTTCTCTGTGCCTTTCTTTGTCCTATTCCCTTCTTATAAGGACATCAGTCGTATTGGATTAGGTCCACCCTAAGGACCCCATTTTAACCTAATTACCTATTTTAAGACCCTAAATAGGTCTCTAAATACACCTATTTCCAAATATAAAAGGTCACATTCGAAGCACTTGGGGTTAGGGCTTCAACATATGAATCTGAGGAGAGACACGATTCAGCCCATAACAGTAGGATATACTAAGAAAACATTAGAACTTCTTTTTATATTTATTTTCAAAAAGATAAAACTTAAACTTTATTAATATTAAATAAATGGATTTGTAGTTTAACGTATCACAGTTGAAATAAACATACTTTTGAGTTACCCACTCAAAAATTATTCATGCTAGATGGGCACGATTACAGAAGTCTGGAGACCACTGACCTAAGGCCTCAGGCTACAGTGGACAGCAGGGGAGAGCTGGCAAAGATAGAATCTACCTGGGTGTTGAAACTGAATGGGTAGAAACAGATCACATCTGAAACTGAAGTGAGGTGACACAGGGCTGGCCTGGGGATTAGACCAGAGTAGCAGTGGAAGGGGAGAGTGGTCAGGCTGATGAATGGGCGGGAGTCAGGCAAAGACAGCGTGAACATGGTATTAATAAATCAGCAAGGGAAGCCTTCAGCATGCTGTGTGCGGCAGGTTGTAGCATTCTTCTCCCGTAAGCGTGCCTGCCCTATGAACCCAGGTCAGCCGAGAGACTTGCTCTGGACGACGAAGCGTGCGCATTCATGAGCGGCACCCTCCAGCCAGCACTGGGGCCGCTGTCCCCTCCCCCTTCCCTCTCCCTCACTGACTTTGCAGTAAGCCTGCTCCATCAGCCTGGTCCCAGCCGATGCGTGGAGAACACACCGGGCAGAGCCACAGCAGACCCTTGATGGTCATGTAGCTTGAGCGACAAATACACATTGGTTGTTGTCAACCACCAAGAGTCTAGGGTCATTGGTTTCTTCAGCTAACCTAGCCTATGCTGACTGATGTAGTGTGTGTGTTTTTTTTCATATACACAGAACTGATAAACTAGTTAATAACTACCACAGCATGAAATGATTGGGCAGAAGAAATGCCCGCTGGTGGCCCTGCTATGCCCCGAATTATCCTTTAGTTGTTGGATCTTGGGATGAGGTCCCAGGGAAGGGGCAGGGGTGGGCAGGACTGGAAGGAAGAGGGAGCCTAGGGGTTCAGAGCAACAGCCATTCCCAGTTGGTACAGAGGTATTTCAGTCCCACTGTGCCCGTGCTTCCCAGCTGACAGCAGACCTAAATATAGGCATTTCTTAGCCAATCTCGTTAGCATGTAACTTCTCAGCACAGGATTCTCACTTTAGATCTGTGTCAGTCACAAGTTTATTTTCTTCCCCATTACAACGTTACATTCCTCACACTGGAGTGTTTTGCAATCGCCATTATCACCATCGGCATCTTCCTCATCATCATCATTAGTGACTCAGCCTGACTCCACGGTACATCTCAGTAACACTCCTAGGCACAGGGAGAGGAAGGAAAACTCGAACATCCCCAGGATTGGATTTGGACGGCAAACGGCTGCAGAGCATAGACAGCACTGGGAGACCCAACCGTGGCCGTGGATATTACTTGTTGAGGTGACAGGGCTGTGCTTATTTGGCCCACACTCGCTAAATAAGGCATTGACAACAACAATCCTTATTTCTAAACAGTGTATTTAAGAGACTCGCCTCGAAGAAAGAAAGCACACAACATCTGCCAACTTACGGCTAAGCCCCAAATTGAAAAGCAAATCCAAGATCCACTCCACTTACTCGCTGCACAGAAACCTAAACGTTATCCTAAAATATGGCTAAATACAGGAGATTCATGAGCAGCCCTGGGTCAGCATGTTTATACTCCCGGGCTTCTAATGGACATTCATTCTTGGCAGAGTCGGGGTGCTGGAACGGCAGCTAGTCAACGGCCAAATGCCATAGTGATTGTAAATTCCTTAGCCCTGCAGAGTGTACATCAATCGGGCAGAAGACAACCCCTGCACTGCATTTTTCCAAGCACTACAACATCACTGAGCCTAGAGAGTTCAAATCCTCCCACGGACAGAAATAAGTTTTTCAAGTTTTTCAAGTTTTTCCATCAAGGCCGTATCCTAGTCAACTCTGTAGCTTCCACTCCAGCTCAGAGGCTGCAGCAAAGTGAGTGCTTACTGCCATGTGTGTTGAATAAGTGAACAAATAGCTCTGAAGATAAACAGACCAACTTATCCATTTCTGGGGCAGACTCAATATAACTATGGCAGGTATTATGATCATTTAATGAATGTTCTTTGACAGTTAAAATTGGAGAGTGGTACCCAATGCAGATAAGCTAAAGTCATGTAAAATTTTTTAAAATTCACATTTACATGTTTTCTGTTGATTTATGCCCATGCTGGTGATTTTCAGTCACAGTATAACTTAAGATCTAAGCATTACTAATGCACTATCCCAGCAGCCATTCAGGACACTCATTTGAATTAGGAAATTCTTAAAAGGTTATGGAACAATTTAGAAAAGATGTCCCAAACCTCACTAGAATTGTTCCCTCTTGCTTTGCACATAATGCTAACACACTTAACTAGTGGGCCTGCGGGGCCACCCTAGGAGAGCAGAAGAAAATTAGAAGAGGGTGAAAAGGCCCCTGATTGGCTCAGGAGTGTGGTGCTGCTGAGGGGCTGGAACTGGGGTCAAGTGATGGAGAAGGACACCTGATAAGGGATCTTGGGATCTTAGGTGAAGCTGGGAATGTGAGGAAGACAAAACAAAGAAATGCCAGACTTAGAATCCCATGTAGACTGAGGCTTGAGGCTGAAACACTGGAACAGGTGAATCGAAGCCAGATTAACAGGAAGGGAACAAAGCTCAAAAGGTAGAGTTCAGAATCTGAGAAGCAGAAACCAGGTGTGAGAGGGCAGCCGGTTCCCACCCAGCAGGTCCCCTTGCTCAAGCCAGGTGTCCAGGGCAGGGCAGTCTTGTGTCTTTCACCCTCTCCCCCTCCCCCTTTCCCAGGAGGCAGGCGATTGCCTCTTCCTCCACTCCCAGTTCTCTGCAACTGGGTATGAGGCAGAACTAATGTGTAGGGAAATCATTCATTCAATAAATTTTAATTGTGCACCTACCATGTGCCAGGTACAATGGAAGGGGCAGGGGACGCATTAGTGAATAAAACGGATTCTGCCAGCATGGAACGCAGATTCTGTAGCACAGAAACAAGGGTTGCAGATGAACTGAGTGTGGGCTCTGCAGCTTAATTCTACCAAGTCTCAGGGTCCTGTGGTCAGCCCTTCCTGGAAGGATGGGAAGTGGGTTTTAGCTACTGGTCTTTAGAGAGGTAAGAAGTGACGGATTGACTTTGAGGGTGTGGTTAAAAACAACAGAAAAAGTAGCCCCCAAAGTCAAAGGTTTTAGCCTCAGATCACATGCAAGCAAGCAGGTACATATATCCCAGCCCTTCCTGGAGAGCGCCATACCAGTGCCCAGCGCCATTACTAATTTTTTTTTTTGCGGTACGCGGGCCTCTCACTGTTGTGGCCTCTCCCGTTGCGGGGCACAGGCTCCGGACGTGCAGGCTCAGCGGCCATGGCTCACGGGCCCAGCCTCTCCGCGGCATGTGGGATCTTCCTGGACCGGGACACGAACCCGTGTCTCCTGCATCGGCAGGCGGACTCTCAACCACTGCGCCACCAGGGAAGCCCCCATTACTAATTTTTATAAAGACCTTTGTAGACAAGTTAAGTGTATGTCTAGGTCATTCTGGTTAAGGCAGTCAGGAAGTGTGCAGCATTTTACAATGTTTTCCACCCCCCAATTTTTTTTTTTAATGGTGACTGTAGGAAAAAAAAAAAATCTCATTTATATGGAAAACTTACCTCCCCAAAGGAAGGTTTCGTTCACAGCTAAAGTTTCCTAACCTTGGATCCTTAAGGGGACTGCAAACAATATCTCAGACAGCCCATCACGTTCATAAATCACTTTACAGTTTGTTACTAGGTGTCCAAACTCGCTTGAACGTTCAAATTAACCCACACAGTACGAACCGGAGAGAGGGGCCAGGACGACTCTTCCCCTCCCGGACTGGCTTTGTCCATTTGTTTTGTTTTCGTTGCTGAGGTGTAGGGAGCTGCCGGGATTCCCCGGCGGGTTCCCGCGGAAACCGTCGTTTCCGGCAGCACGGGAGAAGAGGCGAACCCCCAACGGCCGCCGGGCTGGTCGGGGCTGTACTGGCAACTGGGTCAGGGCGGGAGTGGGCGGGGCCCTAAAGGAGGGCGGGGCCAGAAGCGAGGGGCGGGGCCTGAGTGCGCCTGCGCAGTGCGCTCCACTCAGGGAGGCGGAGGCGAGGCGCCGAAGGGAAGATGGAAGACTACCAGGCTGCCGAGGAGGTAACCGCTGGGTTGGCGACGGGACGGGTGGAGGCCGGGAGTTCCGGGTGCGGGTGGGCGGCGGCAGCCAGGGGCTTGTGCGGGCACCCGGGCTGCGTCTAGACGTGGGCAGCGGCCGTCCCCAGCGCAGGCTGACGGCACCGACGCCCTGCCGAGCGCTTCGCGGTGACCCGCCGCCGGGCCGGCTCAGGGCGTCGTCGCCCTGCCCGGGGCGGGGCTCGGGGGGCGGGGCGTGGAGGGGGCTCCGCAGCCCTGGGACGCCTTGTGCCGGCGGCACTCGCGGGAGACCCCCCGCCGCGCCGCTCGCCTCCCCGGCGACCCCGGCCCGCCACGCCCCCGACCCCGAGAGAGCGCCGCCGCTCGCTCTGTTTATTCCGTGATTCAGACCCCTGCCCGCGGGTGGGGAAGACTGAAGGCCGCCCCTTGTGTGTCGCTGATGCACGCGAGACTCCAGAGTGACCCGCATGTACAGTCACATCTCTCAAGTCCCTTCAGTCAAGGATTGGATCCTCTGGCTGTGCGCAAAAAGCAGACGTGCCCAGTAGGAGAAGCTGCCTGTCTTCGTTTCCACACCTGTTCTTCGGTGCTGCGCGCAGCGCCCACCGAGGCCACCGTCACTCCCATTTCATTTGAGTTTGAGACAACAGTAAGATAGCTCCTATCTGTGGGGGGAGAAGAGTCATCTCTTACTGCCCCAACGAAGAAGCAGGGTAGCGCATACAGTTATTTACCAAGCAGACGACATTCGCTGTAATGACGTGCGCCGTTTCATGGCTTTCCTTCAAGCTTACGAGCATTCAGGGAATAAAGCTGATGGGTGCTCCTCTTATAGAATAGCTGCCCATTTTTCTTCTCACTAAATAATTCTTGTTGAAATACAAATAAATGGAGTCCTATTTATTATGCAGCCTGTCAAAAATAACAGGTTATCTTACCATTTTTGAAATTTAGTCTAAGCAGGAATGTTTTGAGGGAAATACATATATATATATATATAGCTTAAGGACTGACCTTAAGAGTTTCAGATTTTATCTAATTTCCGAACTAGCACAAACTGTCTGTGGTAGTGTCATCATCAGTGTCTGAATGCTGGCAGCAATCAAGTGAATAATTAGAAGTCATAGTTCAGGAGCAGGGAGTCAAGGAAAGACGCCTGTAAACTGTGCACTGATATAATGTTGCAAAATGGCTTGTATTATAGGAATATGAGTAACTTTTAAGAAAGGAAATGGCAATATAGAGGAAGTCCTTAATACTGGCATTTTAATACTCTGCACTCTAATTCTGGCTCTCACCAATGAGGTGGCTAAGTGACTTCATTATTTCAGATCTCAACTGCATATCTGAGAAATGAAAGGGCCCAACAGAGTGATCTGTGTTTTACACAAGATAAAGCCCTGGGAGGCTGAGACCATGACTCCCTTCTTTCTAGTAGGCCCGCTTTGGGCGTTTACTAATCCACCCCACTCCTCCTAACAGCCTCTGCATATCCTCTAACTTCATGTAGATACCTGGATCTTTGTATTAATAACTCTACTCTCCGTTCATTGTTCGACTTTCCTGTAGAAACTGAAACTGCCCAGTGGATTCTGTACAACTGCTGTACTTTCCATGAAAAGTCCATTGAAATGCCCCTCACCCTTTTTCATATTTCAACCACATGGAAAGTTATACAGGGACTTTCCTGTATGGTTTAGGATCACTGAAGTCTCTTGGAAAGATCCTTTAAACTTCGAGAAATAATTTAATCTAGGATACTGCAGATTTTCATTAACTGGGTGAGTTGGCTTTGTCTCCCAGTATGACTTCTGAGTACAGCAGGTGGGCTTCAGGCAGTCAGCTCTTGATCCTCCTGGGAAGAAAGGGGCATTGCTAGCACAGGGCCACAGTGGTCAGCAGCCCGGCAGGGAGGAAAACGCCCTGCTGAACTCTCTGCCTTTATTTCACCAGGATGTACATGGACTGAGGGCCTGGGGCTGCCCTCTGGAAAGCATCTGCAAAGCTCCGGAAATAAGGTTCCCAGGATTCAGAGGGAATCTTGTACCCATTCAGATGTACCATATGTAAAAAGAAAGAAAAAAGAAAGCCATTTATATAAACTCCTGGCACTAGATTCCTGCTGAGAGCCCACCTCCCAGCTCACCTCGACACACTGGCGGGGAATGGCTGTGCCAGCAGCTAGCTGTACAGTCCTGAAGTAGGACAGCATTGAGAAAGAAAATACCAACAGAAAATAGTAAAATCATGGTGTATCTTACCACAAACAGTGGCTAAAAACAAACCCCCCAAAAAAAACGTCTTAAGTTTCAAGCCTCCTAACAAGTTTACATCAGGGAAAGAGTCAGTTAATTTATATAAAAGTCAAGTAACTCATTAAACTTCTATAGTAATCATCCTAGCGGCCAGCTGAAATGGATGGAGAGATTGAATTTTAGTTTAAGGTGAAGTCAGTCTTTTGGGTCATGGCATGATTAAAACAAAAACAAACCAAAAAACCTTTAAATCGTACACGTGTGTCCTGTGTCTCCTGACTGCCTCTCATTAGCTCTGTGATCCTCAGAGAGCTACTTAATGTTTTCCTCAGTAAAATGAACAGCCTGGTTAGATTATTCCTAAGGTCTTCATTTCTAAATCATGTTCATTACCTAAATTTGCATTAATCAGTGCAGTGGAAAAGGATCTTTTAAATCAATCAAACTTAACTAATTTTCTTCCTTACAGACTGCTTTTGTTGTTGATGAAGTGAGCAACATTGTAAAAGAGGTAAGAGGAGAAATGCTCCCTTTTTCAATGTTTGATTAATGGCTTATATGAGTGAAAATAATGTGTTTTAAATACTGTCTTGGAATTGTTTCAACTGAGCCTGTGTGTTTTGGCATTTCAAATAACAGTTTTTACTTCAATGAATATCTAGATAAGAACTCTCCCTTGGGGCTTCCCTAGTGGCACAGTGGTTGAGAGTCCGCCTGCCGATGCAGGGGACACGGGTTCGTGCCCCGGTCCGGGAAGATCCCACATGCCGCGGAGCGGCTGGGCCCGTGAGCCATGGCCGCTGAGCCTGCGCGTCCGGAGCCTGTGCTCCGCAACGGGAGAGGCCACAGCAGTGAGAGGCCCGAGTACCGCAAAAAACCAAACCAAAACCAAACCAAACAAAAAAGAATTCTCCCATATTATGTAAATTATATATTTTAAATGAGACAGGACATTTTATATACTAGCATTATTACTGAATGTTACTAAGGCTTGATTCTGTAACCTTTTAGCATCAAAGACTCATGGTAATAATCACATTGGAAAATGTAAACGTGCATTCCCTGTGTGGTAACTGCCACGGTATGTGGTGCTTTGAGGGATTAACCCACCTAGTGAGTTCAGAGCTGGAATCTGAGAAAATGGGAGGAGTGTTAACTCAGTGAAAAGAGGGGGACAGATATTCCAGGCAGTGGACAAGTGCAAAGGCCCTGTGGTAAGGAGTGTGCGTGGTGTTTGAGGGATTGGAGGGGAGGTGGGTGTGGCTGGACTAGTGCTGAGCATGGGGGCAGCCTGGGGCAGGAAGGAGGCCAGAAACGTTTTCCTAGTCAGTTTCCCTCCCTGGGTACACTGAGCACATAATGAAGCCAGTGGCTAAAAGACGGTTATTAGATGATCTAAGTTTGCCAATACCATTTGAGGTTATATATGTGATTTGGAATTGACTCCAATGCAAATTATTATTAATGCAAGTTATTGACTAATGGCAGAGTGATGAAGAACCACAGCCTAGTTTTGTGAACACCATTAAAAAGCAAAATGACTTTGTTCTGCTGTATGTATTATTCCACATCAGGCATGGATTTTCTACTTGCTTTCAGGATCTATAACAGTTTGCTTGTCATTGTTTTTCTTTCTTTTTTAAAAATTTAGTCATTTAAAAAATTTTTTTATGTTTGGCTGCGTTGGGTCTTCATTACTGCGTGCGGGCTTTCTCTAGTTGCGGCGAGCGGGGGCTACTCTTTGTTGCAGTGCACGGGCTTCTCGTTGTGGTGGCTTCTCTTGTTGCGGAGCACAGGCTCTAGGCGTGCAGGCTTCAGTAGTTGTGGCTCGCCAGCTCTAGAGCCGCAGGCTCAGTAGTTGTGGCACACGGGCTTTGTTGCTCCACGGCATGTGGGACCTTCTCAGACTGGGGCTCGAACCTGTGTCCCCTGCATTGGCAGGCAAATTCTTAACCACTGTGCCACCAGGGAAGTCCTTGTAGTTTTTTGAAAAAAAAAAAAAAAGTGTTTCTTAGGAGCATGGTAGGGAGCAGGAAGATGGGTGAATTTCACTAGAACTCAGACATGGAGTTGGCTCATCGTGAAGCCTCCTTGGGCCTTGCTTGTTTTCTTCACTGTCTTTGACTTGGTTCCCAGGCAGCAAGTACCATTGCAAGTAGACCTTCCCAGTCTCCCTGGAAGCATAAAGGACTGGAAGCATAAAGTTACAGTGTGGTGTTACTTTCAGCTTTTTTTTGCCTCTAGGCAAAAGGTTAATTCTGTACTCGGCTATTTTAAGGATTGGGTAGTAGTAAATTTGGATGGGTACAAAATTAGCGGAGGGTTTTCCTCCCTCCCTGAAAAACAGTGAATTCCGAAGCATGTGTGGGGAGACTTGCCAGAGTGAGAGGTTTAGCTCGAGTGCAGCCCCTACTTCTTTGGGGACACCCAGAGCTATCACCACCCTGGTCCCAGGTTCAGCTCTGAGCTGGGGAGGGAGCAGGACACGGCAGAGGGTGCGGAAGAGCTGTGCCAGTTTGTGGGGGCAGCAGCCCGCTCAGGTCCCAGGATGACTAGGAATTTCCAGCGCTAGAATATGGCGTGACTGTAGGTCGCTTTTGTTCCTCAAAACCAAGGTCTCTGGGCTAGGCCCTAGGCCGTAGACCCCAGTCTGTCACCATTGTATACAACTCAGGGACTTTTTCTCTCCACGTCTGAGGACAGAACTTAGCCCTCACTGAATGTTATTATTTTAGGTCATAAGTGTCATAAAAACTCAGTTTTCTGGTTTCCAGCACAAGTCAGAAAAGGAGTAGAAAAGAAAGCTGCTTAGAAGCAGGCACACAGGCACCAGCAATAAAAGGCCCAGAGAACCGTAAAATGGGACTATCCTTATTACCAGCTGGACCAAGAGTTGGGGCCAGGGACCGTGTGTATTCCTGAATACCCTCTGAAGCACACAGGGTGAACCCACGCAGAATACAGCACAGAAAAGGAAACAAGGAATTTCATAATAAAGAAAAAATTCATCACAAACTAAGTTTTGGAATAGATAGAGGAGTTCTTTAGTTTTCTGAAAAATGTACTTTTGTGGTAACATTCCCAGAAGATGCTGGGTAAAGGAAGTATTTGTAAATATCAATACATGATTATTTGGATAGGTTTGTACATTGTCAGTTGTACAACCGACAAAAGATTCCTCTATCTCTGGTGTACTTTTAAGAAAGAAATAGGCAAAGGAAGATATTTTCTAGCCTCAGCAGGGAGAAAACGTGTTCCTTATCTCCAGACAGTAACTACAACAGCAAACATTAAATTCAGTCAAAATGTTTAAAAAACTTGACAGATCAGATGCTATATAATTCTTTTTTTTTTTTTTATTTGTTCGGCTGCACTGGGTCTTTTTTTTTTTTTTTTTTTGCGGTACGCGGGCCTCTCACTGTTGTGGCCTCTCCCTTTGCGGAGCACAGGCTCCGGACGCGCAGGCTCAGCGGCCATGGCCACGGGCCCAGCCGCTCCGCGGCATGTGGGATCTTCCCAGACCGGGGCACAAACCCGCGTCCCCTGCAACGGCAGGCAGACTCTCAACCACTGCGCCACCAGGGAAGCCCTGCACTGGGTCTTAGTTCCAGCATGCAGGATCTTCGTTGTGGCATGCGGACTGTTTAGTTGGCGGGATCTAGTTCCCCGAGCAGGGATCGAACCCAGGCCCCCTGCATTGGAAACGCACAGTGTTAGCCACTGGACCACCAGGGAAGTCCCATATAATTACATATTTTTAAAACTGAATATAAAGCATTCAAATGAAATACAACACTGTTAGAACTAAAGGTACATTTGCAAAGGAGTCCTCGTGTTTACAAATAAGCTTATTTACACTTTATGCAAATTGTATTTCAGCAGTTCTTAGGGTGCAGTACTAACTGCTAACCTCAGGAGTGGCTGGGAGGTGTTTGGCGTGTTCTGCTAACAGTGACCAGCTGTGCTCTGTCTTCCAGGCCATAGAACGTGCCATCGGTGGCAACGCCTATCAGCACAGCAAAGTGAATCAGTGGACCACAAACGTAGTGGAGCAAACCTTAAGCCAGCTCACCAAGCTGGGGAAACCGTTTAAATACATTGGTAATGAATCTTCGCCTCTTGTTTATATTGGTGGTGGTTCTTTAAATACGGATCAGAGGCGAGTCTGTGTCAGGAGAGCAGCGTGGCCTGAGCTCAGAGGAGGTTCCTGGTAGGCGCAGGTCACTCGGCTTGTGCACGTAACCACCCACCCGGCCTGTGGGGCTGCGGGCATGCAGGGACGTACCAGCATGTCCGATCTGATGCTTTTAGAACAAGCCTGTGGTGATCTGTTGATGTCCTAGGACCTGGCGCTCTACCCCTAGAATTTTTATCATGAACATCAGCCACGTGATCTCTCTCTATATAATGAAAGTGGACAAAAGGGAATTTGTGTCACCAAGTATATTCCTCTAATAAAAGTCTGCTTTATCGAAGTGACCTGTGTAATCATGCAGAAGAACGGAGCGGGCCTGCACACGGCAAGTTCCTGCTTCTGGGACAGCTCTACTGATGGTACGTACGGTTTTCATTCCATTCGTGAAGGCTTGTCACGGGCATTTCCCTGAAGGCTCTGCGGTGCCTGGACCCTGCTGAGATCTAGATTATTCAAAGCGTTGTTTTATGAAATATGTGCTTGGATGTTTCCTGTCTTTGAATGCATGTCTGTTACAGTCACCTTTTAAAACATTTGATAGAAGAGAGACTGGCCAGCCTTCTTTTTTGGCCACAAAGAGTTAAGTACACGATCGTGAGAACTCGGAAGGCCCCCGTTCTTCCCAGTTTTCTGTCCTAACCCGCCTCCTTCCTCCCGCAGGGAGCTGCACTGTGCGATGGGAGAACAAGACCATGTACTGCATTGTCAGCGCCTTTGGACTGTCCATTTGACCGCCCTGTCCAGCCTGTGATCCTTCTCCTTTTGTCCCAGCATTTCTCTTCCATCTTCTAACCACCAGCCATCTAGTCAGTGATCACCTGTCTCACTCTCTTTAAGTGTTTTTGTGGCGCTCTCAAAATGTAGAGAAAAAAACCAAATGACCACACTGTTCTGTGACCTGCACACCCTAAGTCAGAGGAGTCATCACCGAAGGTAGTCAGGAGCCTGTCCTGCCACTTGTCTTAACTTTGAATGTTTCTTTTCAAAGGTGCTAAAAGCCGAAATCTGCTAGTGTGAAACTTTCTCTACTCTCTGAAATGATTCAAATACACTAATTTTCCATACTTTGTACTTTTGTTAGAATAATAAATTATTCCAATTTAAAGTGTGTGTTTTCTTCATAGTCTAAATAGTATCACAAATGAATTCTCCATATTTAGTTAGTGGCTTTAGAATCTATAAAACTGTAAAAAACAGAAGAAGTTGCAGTTCAGCTCTGGTCCTCGCCAGTACAGCGATTTGCTGATCCACCCGTGGGACCAAGATCCTGACCGCTTTGCTGTGTTCTGGTTGGAATTCTACCCTTGGGCATCACATCCTTCCCTCAAGGGCTTCTCTCCTGGAGCTTAAGGGGTGGCAAGTGGGCAAGCTGGTCTTTTCTGATAGCTGGAGAGCTCTGACTCACACTGTCGGCCCAAATCTGCAACACTACAGCCTCTACTCCTGTGTTTTCTTTTTCAGTAGCAATCACAACAGAAATGTTTTAGTACCTTACGGCTTACACAATGCTTTCACAATTATTCATTTTGTGTCCACAACAGTTAGACCGTTATTTATGAATCAGAAAAGGTGTCTGGAGGTTTTCTGACTGATTTAAAGTCATATCCAAGTAAGTGGGGAGGTGGGCCCCAAAACCGGTGAAGCTCACCTTCGGGGCTCATGCCTGGGCCACGTTAACATGGCAATAAAGACAGACACACCTCCGCGTCCACCTGCTGAAATGAAAAAACCCTGCTCTTGTCCCTAAAGCACCAATGCCTGAATGATCAAGTTAACTCCACATGCAAAGAGCAAACAAATCAATGTACATAAATAAGGATCAAATATCAAAAATTTATTAACATCTACCAGAAAGGTAGTCTCTTAGTAAAAGGTGAAAGATTTATACGATCTCAAGAGAAACCAGAGTATAGGAAGGTAGTCTCTTAATGAAGCCATTCCCGAAGTGTAAATTTGCCATAAATAAACATTTATTCACTTTGATTGACTAAAATGATCATTCTGTGATCAGTACTACTGTACTCACTGACACAGTTCCAAGGTCTAATACATAGCTTTATCTCTCCTTTTGAGCTTAAGGTTTAGAGTTGCTTTATTGTACAGATATTTACAGTCTCTTTGTAAAAAGGCAGTTTTCAGTAGCAGAAAATCCTGTGTTTCACAGTCTGGTATTACAGTTCCCAGTATACCTAAAACATGTCAAATCAAGATGAACAGGGTAACAAGATGTCACAGACTGAAGCAACTTCCCTTTGGCCTGCGGAAAAGGTTTGTACCTTTGTTTTTCAAAAGTCTAACCTCTAAGGCAACTGGTTTTTAAAACCCTCAGAATACATAAATGTACTTAAGTGTTCTAAGTCTAGTCTTCACTAGATGTCCCTTTTAATCATCCCTTCTATGAGCCTCTGTGTTTTTCCCTGTGAAAAGGATTCCAGGAAATAAGTTACTGACCACATTATAATCTACTGAACGTAACTGTACCTTCAGTAAATAGCTCATGGAATTCTTGAGGCTGGTGATGTCTGTATTGTAACCTGACCATTTAATGGGTTGGGTTTACATAATGTATCTAAACTTTTATTGCAATCTGTAATTATGTACAGGAACAATCTTACAAACCTTGAATATATTTTACATATCCTCTTCTTTAGCCTTTCAAATGGGGCTTAAGAGAGAGAAAACTGCATCACTGCACTGCTTCAATGATTTAATAATAAATCAAGCAGACCTTTATCCACATGGATAATGAAGCTCTCCCTAGGGAAACTGTGAAATGCCTATGGTCATCTTCCAGGTTCCCTAGACTGGACCAGTATAAAAATTATCCCAAAGATGATGTTATTCAAGCTGTTACCATGGAAGAACTAAAGTCAGCCCTTTATAATTTAAGTTTGCAAAACTTTGATACCCTCCAAGACCAAAAAATAATCATAGTAATTTTCTTGCTACTGTCTAAAGTTTCTGGCAGACTTTAGTGTTTTAACCTAATACCTATGGCACATATAATACACACTAAATGCTATATATTTTAAGCAAATTTTTACATGTAAGATGTAATATGTTGACATATGATACCAGAGAAGAGAAACTGAAAATGCATGACTTAATAAAGAACCATTTCCCACTTAAGTACTTTCTTTTGTAACTTTTCCTCGTTTCCAACTTAGTTACAAAAAGTAAATAAATACTCCCATATTTTTCATTTCACTGATTTGATGCCAATAAGAATCAAAGGATGACGATTCAGTCATCAGTTAACAATTACACTATAGGATGAGGATAAGTTTTCAAATGTACCTAATGTGTACAGCTAAATGCCTCAAGTACTATACATTTACTGATAAATAACAGCATTCCAAATTATGGACAATTATTTTATAATGATTAAAACTTGGAAACTATATCATACTAGGATACATTAATCAGCACAAGTAAGTTTTCATCAATTTACATAAAATTACTTAGTCTTAATAGAAGTTGTAAAATTTGGTAACAGAAAATTTCTTCAATACCTCTGAATACACAGAATCAAAAAAAATTAATCACATCCTTGCAGCAAATGTAAAAACCATGTGAACTTGAATTACCCTTGCAATAATACAACTGTTTTAATTCAGACTTTCTTATTTACAAGGTTTTAAAAACAAATATAAATGGAGTCCATGTTAAAGGTGCATTATCGTTAAAGTTTAAATTAAAAAGAAAGATATGAAGTCATGATGAATAGTCTCTCGTGAACCTCTCTAAGGTCCCAACACTACCTAAAGTGGAATATAACCTTTAGCTCTGAATGGTAACTGGAGAGTTAATGTATACGTGAAAAAAGTGCGGGGGCTGTTTGCAGAGCAGAACAATCACGTCCCATACCTCTGTGTCTGCCGAGATGGCATCAATCAGGATGTCTGCAATGATCACAGGTAACCCATTCAAGAGAGAGATTACTATGCATGCCAAATGAAAAGCAGAGGAGATATCTCTACCTCCTATAATTAGTCTTTGACAAAAAGGAACTGGAAATCTCCAGGGCCTTCTACGATGCCACAGATACAGCAGCTCCAGACGGCTCTTACACAGAGCAATTCATCTGTTTACCTGACGACCATGCAAGACACACAGGGCCGGAATGATTCCCAACAAGTTACCTTCTCCCCAAAGAGGTTCCTCCGTAAGCCACCTAAAATGTTTTACCTTCTTTCGTCTAGTTTCCAGATGTGAAGCTGAAGAACTTTTTGGCAATAACGAATCTGTAGTAGAGTATACCAATCACTTGTTTAACTTTTATTAAAAAAACAAACAAAACAAATAGAGCTCTACAAGGTATCATCTTTGACAGAGCTGCAGAAACTCCTGCTTACTGGAATTGTAATGGATACCCTCCTCCCCATGAATATGCATGATGTCTCTATGCACAGGGACATCATTCATATTCATGATGGAACGCTCACACGCATTACTCACGTGTGCACACAGGCCCTTAGAAAACTCTGGCAACAAGACCCTTCCCATGGGAGCTGACAACCTGTCAATCATCTTACCCTTTCCTTACGAGCCTTATGGAACGCTCCTCAGAATTCCAAGACAGCAGCTCTGCCTTGGTGGCAGTGAAGGGCTAGGACCTGCCCACCCTCCTCCCTTTCCCCAAAGAGCCATTACACACGTACACATTTCACACAGCAACCGACACAAGTTACCCATCACTTGAGATGCGTGATCTTCCAGAGCACAGGCCACTCGGTGGGGAAGGACTGCCCTCGTGGGGCAGCCACAGAAATAGGCTTCCCTTTGGGTTTAAAGGGTCAAAAGTTGGTACCACGGGGCAGGGAAGAAAGGAAGGGAGCAGAGGAACACCCCCATGCTGTGGACCTTACTCCTAAGGGCTTTCCAGGAACTTGGAATGAGTAAATTTTCTTTTTAAGTACATAATTCTCTCTACTAAAAACAGCAGTAACTTCTTGCTCACTGGAAACAGCCACCTCCCATGTGAAATCTTTGAAACATGATCTGGCGGCTGAAACTTTGTCAGAGCTCTCTTCCCAAATCAATGCAGTCAGTCTACCAGTAAATTTGGCCCAATGTTTAAATTTGTCCTCAGTTTTGGTTTCCCTTTCAAAAATATGTAAACAAATAAGGATCAGGAAATCTCTGCTTGTAAGAGAGGTCTGCGTTCAGGCAGGTACAGGGCAGGCCAGGAAGCAGGCACGGGGGCTCAGTCACTCTCAGACCCCTCCTTGTACTGGGCCCGGATGGCCTGGCCGTTCTGCAGGGGCATCTCTTCATAGTCGCTCCTGTTACAAGAGAGGCCTCTGATACCATTCGGCTTTCGACAGCACTGGGTTTATTCTCCTCTTCACACTGACCCGCCGTCCTAACAAGAGCCCGTTTCCTAGCCTTGCTCTCTCCACTTCTGTCACCAGCTGATTCCTCCCACCCCTCCGGCCCCACCCATCACCAGTGTGTCTGTTCTTCCAGAAAAGAACTGCTCTTCCTGCGGTCACCAGTCACTCAGGTGTCCAGCAGGAAGGGCCACTACCCACCTAAGCCTGAGTAACGTGACAACACAAAACCAGGGGATCACATGACTCTCCCAGATGAAAGAGACCGATGATACCTCTGAAATCGTCTGAGAATGGTCACCAGCCTCTCCGGTAAACACGCGAAAGCAGGCTGAGCGCTCGCCCTGGGGCAGCCTTCGGCAGAGGTGGGGACTTACCCATATATCACGTCGTCGTCCGAGTCGTTGAGCATGGAGAAGGCGGGATTGTCCTTCAGCTGGGACTCTGAAAACCAACAAGCATTTTAACGTCACTAGCCCAGAGAGGCAGGATGCTGTTCTAGAAGAAGGGTGGGAGTCAGAAAGGGCTGGATTCCAATCCCCGCTTCCCCGTTCACCGCCTGCGTGAGCTGGACAGGTCGTTCTGTCCCCCGGGGGGTGCCGCGGGAAGACTGAGCGGAAGCCTGGGGGGAAGGGCCGCCTGGAGCAGCCAGCGGGCGGGCTCCCCGCACCCCAGGGTCCCGCAGGTCCTCACTGGGAGCAGGGCCGGGTGACCTGGTCTGCCTGCTGCGCCCACCCGCCCCGGGCCTGCACACAGCTGCTGGTCCACAGCC